AGAAAAAAGCAGGAGTAGCCATATTAATCTCTGATAAAATAAATATCAATGTAAAAACCATCACGGAAGATAAGGAAGGTCACTACATAATGCTGAAAGAATTTGCCTTTAGGAAATCTCCTAGTAATACAATAAATCCTGCTTTACTTAGAAGCTATCCTTCTTGATGAATCTGGTCATTGAACAAGAGCCTTCAGTGCCTCAAAACTATTATTAAGATGATTTTTAAATTCAAGTGGGATAGACCCAATGATACATTTTGGTTCTTGTGCTCTTGTTTTCACTTGCTTTAACTTCAACAACTAATTAGCCAATTGACAGGAAGAGATCCATATTTGTCATCATTCCCAAGACAGGTGATCCAACAGAATATGGACGTTAGCAAACAATACCATTAATATCATATAAAAGCAAAATATTGCTAAATATCTCCAAAAACAGTGCATTGACAAAGATAAGTACACTGACAAAAGTTGTAACTGTGTGTAGGAGACACCATGGCAACATTACTAATGTCAGTTTGATGCTGGCTGAAGCAAAGAAAATCAGAAGAATGTCTATTTGTATATTGACTATGCAAAGGCATATGACTGTGTGGGACATAACAAACCATAAATAGCATTAAGAAGAATAGAAATTTCCAAACAATTATGCTTATTAAAAAAATCTACACCTTAGCCACGAAAGACCAGTGTTGCAGACCAAGGGTAAAGTAATTTTTTAATTATTAATAATGGGACCGAAAACCAGGAATGAGATAGATCAGAGAGCATAAAACAGGGGGCCAGCAGTTCTCAACTGAAGACCCAAAGTCATGCTGCTCTGAGTATTTATTGATAATGTAGGGAAGCAAATAATAAAAGGAATTTCTTATAAATGAAAAAAAAAAATCTACACCTAGACTGAGAAGCTGTTGTCTGAACAGAGCAAGTGAACAACTGTATGGTTTAAAATTAAGAAGCGTATACATCAAGGATGTATCTTTCCTCCATACCTATTCAATCTCTATGCTGAGCAAATAATTTGAGAAACTGGGCTTTATGAAGAAGAATATGATTTCAGGATAGGAGGAAGATTTCTTACCAATTTATGTTATACAGATGAAGCAGCCTTGCTTGCTGAAAGCAAAGAGGACTTGAGGCACTAGGTGCAAAACATCAAGGGCTACATCCTTAAACATGGATGATATCTCAACAACAAGAAAACAAAATCCTCTTCATTGGGTCAAAAGGCAACATCATGCTAGATGCAGAAGAGACAGAGATTGTCATTTATTTCATCTTATTTGGATCCTTAATCAACACCCATGGTAACAGCCGAGGAATAATTTCATTTATATCTCACTGGGGAACCTGGGGAACTCTATGCTCTGAAATTATTAAAGAGCAATGATGCCAGTTTACTGAGTAAGGTGCACCTGATCCAAGCCATGGTTTTCTTTTTTTTTTTAAATTATTTTTTTTTTTTGCCATGGTATTTTCAATTCTTTCCCATGAATGTGAAAGTTGAACAATAAATAAAGATGACTTAAAAAAGGGGGGGGGAAGAAGCTATCCTTCTGATTCAGAGGGTTTTTTTTAATTTGTTTTGTGTTATTTTCTTTTTATCACAGAGTGGTTAATCCTCTACCAGACACACCCAACAGCAGAAGCTGGCTCAGGTCAACCTGTAATTTCAATTTTCCCAATATTAAAGGTGCAATAAGACTATGGACAAATAGAGTATGGTCTCTATATAGCTGGTGTCAGAACTGCATAGCTCAGGTATGGATTTAATGCACTGCTTTCAGCATTATGATTTGTCTACACAGTTGGGGTATATGAATGCTCAACTTAGTAGAAACCTCAGACGAAGCTTAAATAAAGGAACTCTGGTGGCCTAAAAGATAGAGTTATGCTGCCAACTCAGATGTGTAGGTAGTTTGACTCTACCAGCTGCTCAGTGGGATAAAGATAGCCAGTCTTCTCCCATATAATTTACTGCCTCTGAAAACCTGCTAAAGGGTCAGTTATGAGTCAGTTCCAGCTTAACAAAATGAGACTGAGTTGAAGTGCAAATAAAATCAAATTATGGAATTGTATCTGTCTTTGGTTCTGTAAAACACTGTACATTAAACCACTTTCTTATCCTGTCCTTTTGTTGTTGTTGTTCTTATATTGTTTACAGAACTCAAGCTTGTTTATTATTGAATTTCAGAGTTTAGAAGTTTTGAAAGATACCATTTTTCCATCTCGTGTCTGCCTCCAAGAACTTCATAGTTTAAAACAACGGTTTTGCATTTTGGAAAGTGAATTCTGCAAACTTCAAGAAGCACTGAAG